CATTGCTACAACAGGAACTTAGGTATAGTTTGAGTAGACGAATGCGCATTGTTAACGGACGAATTTGAGTTTATTTTGGAAAGAAAGAGCAGGATACTCGGACCAAATTATTACGCCTCAACCTTAAAAACTTTAGTATTGAAGAGGACTTTGAAAGACCCTCACACCAAGCATAATTCCGGCTTTCCTTCACGTGATACCACGTTTAATGAAATTCTTGCAAATCGTGATGCCCGACTCACCAGCGAACTTGCTGATCGTGATGCCAGATTCGTACCGAATACCGTGCCAAATTTAACCCTGAACTTACTTACATGTACCTCACGCGACGAAAACTTTACAGCGGAGGTCCAAAGAATCTTAACAATGCTTAATACTTCTACTGCGAGACTTGATGAGATCGAACAAAACTACCATAACAATTTTGGTAGAGTCGCAACCGAATTCGAAATTGATCGACGCTATGCCATTATCCAAAGGATTAAGCCTATTGAGGAAACAGAACTTCGAGATAATAACTCATCCTCATCTGATCAAAAAAGTGATGCAAATCAACCCGAAGCTTCTTCTGGTTCAAGTCAACGATGATAGAAAAAGCGTGTTCTTTAGATGATATGTGTGGTATTGTAGCCGTTGACATTTATCTTGGGGTGGGAAAACTTAGTAGATATTAAAAATTATTATTGTAGAATTAATGATTTAAAAGACAGTAACTTAAAATAGGTGCCTGGATCGATAGCAAAACAAATGTAGTTTCTAATAATTCAGAGTAGCGGGAAGGAACTCTCATTTTATGGGTTAGGGCTCGAGATGCTTCCTCCCTTTAAACGTCCGCTACTCCATTCATTTATTATATTCGAACGATGAATTTTTTTTATTTATAATAAACACAGTTTCTATTAACATGAATACCCAGTACTACAGATTACTTAATCACCATGTAAGGCAAGGACTTTGTCATCCTGATCACGACGTTTGATAGTAACACGTTTATAGTTATCCTCATAGAGCACATACCAGAAATTTTGTTTTAATTCTCTTACTTGTTTTGTATGATGTCGGAAGTCGATGATAGCCCAATCTTTTAATGGAATATTAGCGTACTCACCATCTTGTTCGAATCGTTTTGCATGCTCCTTCAAACGATCACCCTCGCGCGTAAGTTCAATTCCCCAGCAAAGTTTTCCGTTAACATAGAAATCCAGAAATCCAACAGAGCCAAACACGGCACCAACATCAGCACTTATTGATGTACCTTCTGGGACTACGGTTGTAGCAGTACGATACCATTCCATTTGCCAACTTCTCTCGTATAAATGTGAATTATCGCCAAATCCCTTTCCAATCGATTCAAACAACTTAGATGGGCTCATGCGTTCAATGGTTCTTATCAAAAATTCGTCAAAAGTTTTTGCAGGTAATGACTTAAAATTTACTGGGGCGGTGAATAGGAAATGACTCAGAATAACTCGAATTATGGGGGCGGAAAATTGTATTTGTTCATTAGAATCAACCGTGGAGAAGAGACCCATCTTAATAAATTTCTTGATAACAGGATTTACGAAATAGTCAATAGTGAAGGGAAAGCCGATTTTATAGAGTAGCGTCTTTCGAATAAATTCGGATTCTTCATCAGTTATATTCCAATCACGGATCCAGTGGAAAGCACGTGAAGTTGCTATTATGCCTTCTTGTAGATGTGATGAAGCAAGATACCGCAACATTTCCACTATTTTTCCATTTTCACGAAATTGATTGCGCAACGCGGTCAAAATGAATCGACACAAACCAGGATGTCCACCAGTGAGATTAAAGACTGCCTTCTGAACAGGTTCATGAATTTTGAAATTCGGGCTACCCAAAGTAGCATGTCTCAGAATATAGCTCGTTATAAGGTGATGGACTTCTTCCCACGTTAGAAGTAGGGCATTCAAACCAAGTGTATGGCGAATTTCCACGGGTGTCACTTGAGGATCAAGTGTCGGATGGTATGTGCCGATCAAAACTATCCGAATATTTTGAAGATTTGATTCGCTTGACAAAAGATCTTTCACTATACCCCAAAAGAATGGAGCGCGATTACCATAGATAACCTGTATTTCATCTATAAACACATAAGTATCCTTTTTGCATTCACTGATTTCTGTCCAGGTTCTACCAACTTTCTTCTTCCAGAAATTTTCAAAGAGCTCCTCATCGTAGACTTCTCGTTTACCATTTATACCAGCAAGACTAATGTATATGCTATCATAATTGAGACTTTCAAAATAGTCTCGGAGCACCTGTCCAAGAGTACTCTTGCCTGATGATGGAGGACTGCGCAAAAGGCTAATATGGTTATTTTCCACAAACTCAGTGATCCACTTCACCCTTTCAGATGAGATAACCGTAAGACTGTCCCGACCCTCTTCTGATTCATCAGGATCTTTAATATCAGATAAATTATAAAAAGAAAAGGTGAATTTTTGAAAACAAACAAGATTACGAGTTAACGTTACAAGCAATATATTATATACATGTTCGTTTCTTTTTTTTTCGATTCCCACTTTCCTCGTCCCTTTTCTCTTTTCTTTTTGCTAATCAAATAAAAAAAAATAAAAGAATGAGATGACTGCAAATTTCTTGTTCGAGAGGTAAAACATTGGGAGACACTTACCAGTGGTGACAGGCGGTTGTACGATAATTCGGATGTTACTAGTGGATTCGTGAAAATATTCTCCAACAGTTTCGTTTGGGAGCAACTCCTCACCTTCGTATTCTTTGATGTTTTCGGAGTACATTATCGTGTCCTTGTTTTCTCTAGTGATAGGAATATTCACACTCCATAGCTTCAGTTCGTTAGCGTCAACATTGGCAAAGGTATTTTCCTTCTTCTTTTTGATGAGTTCCTTGAGATGCCCAACGGTCATATCTTTACTAACATCAACCGGGAAAGAATTCCCAACGGCATCACCTAAAACGATACAGAAAATCTGGAAACTCATCAAACATTACTTATAAAATTATATAATTTGTAGAATTTTAAATACCATGATTTCTCCGGTATCAGATAACATTAGAGTGTTTAAAATAAAAAAAATGTTTCAGTTCACGGCACGTAATCTGGCGTATTTATAATTTCCGTGTGATTAGTGATGTTAGTAATCTCATAAACAATAATGATAAATACATAAGGCTTGGGCTGTACGTTTATGTAATCCGACTTACCGAAAAAACTATGTATAAGGAGACTAATAGAAAATATCGAATTTATGTGCACTTCGCAAGCAGAAAAAATTAAAAGCGTTCTTATCATATCACAGTATGAAGGAAAATACAGTATACTAAAAATTCCGCAATTAACCGGGTGAAGCTATACGTACTATTTTTTTACATTCGTGGTCAAATGATGTACAACATATAACCTCAGCCAATAGTAACAAAATCACGCATTTTTCTTGGTGCTTACCACTTCCGTTAACCGGATGACCGCCCTTTCATTAACAGATTTGAAATGGGACCGGTGATGAGATTCGAATAAGAGGCTAAGGCTCTCGAAACCCCACCGAAACGTTCATTCTTGTCACACCACAATCTGGATGAAGTCTTAACAAAATATGGAGTCAGAGGCAATAGTATATTAAAAATCCCTCAGTTCACCCACCAAATTAACGAAGACGATCCAGCATTTAAATTTTACATTTATGTTCACTTGGAAAATTTGAGGGTTTTATTTTTTATAAAACACATTGATCAAACAAAAGCGCAAATTTGAATCTTTTTTTTGATTATGACTTGGATTGAGGTTATAGCAATGAGGATGAACCATCAAAACATCCTGCTCTGGAAATAACGTAAAGAAATTAAAGAATCATAGACGGGCGCATATAGGTATGTGTAATCTTTACATGTATTTAGCGATAAGAGTTAATATTTATATATTTTTCTCATAATATATCCATATATTTATACATTAAAGATGTAGAGAGCGCAAAGAAAGGTTTACCAGCACGATATAAGAAATAACATTTTTCACGATGGGTTAAATGCAGAATTTATAGCCACTTAATGTTTGTATCAAGCAATAGAAATTTATTATGATTCTTAATGTAAATATATCATGCCTCAAAGAGGCGCCCAAAGGGCCTGATATCACGGGTTAATAAAGATTTTCGCGTGTATTGTAAATATATCAATCGTGATTATTATTTTTTTTTCTTGGCAAAAAAAACCGTTTCCCAGGGAAACGATTGATTCAAATAAAATTTCTTGGCATTTTTTGACGAACATCATTCGTTGAAATTCATCACACGATTTACATTAACACGATAAAGAATTGAATATATCCGTATTTTATATAGAAAATGGCAAGCGAACAATCCAAAGTCGATTCATTAGAAGAACGAATTTCCAAGCTTGTAGCCGAGAATGATGAGCTTAGAAAGAAATATGTTGAGGTCGAGGCTGAAAACGTGAAGCTAAGGCAGGTTATAGAAGAAAATACAAAGCGCGATGCTAGAGTTGAGGAACTAGAACAAAAGAATATAGAGCTTGAAACTAGACTCGTTATATTAGAACAGGGAGAAAAAGGTATTTCTATTGCAGAGCAATGGCTCTTCGAACCTACAAAAGATGTTTCGCAATCTTCGGTAAATTCTGATGTTATAGACTTACAAACTGAGAATGTTTCGGCATCTAATATATCTGATATTACTCCAAATTCTAGTCACTTTGTGACTGCCTCCGGCAAAGATACTCATGAACAGATAGTCTCACGTAATGAGGAGTCTAACATATCTAATCACGAAGTGACTGCCTCCAGCAATTCCGATACACAACAGAAATTAGAGACCTCCACATCTCATATCTCCACGGAAACCATATCATTGGAAGAGAAAGAAGAAAACGAATTCATGGATTCGATGTATAAGGAACAGGTTAGTAAAGAGATAATTCAGAGCATTAGGGAGAAGAAACTTCGAGATCGAAACTTATCTTCGGATAATAATTCATCATGTGATATAAAAACCGTTTCCCAGGGAAACGATCAACAAAAAATAATCACGAATACTTCTTTACCAGCGGAGGATCTTGACGATTCTGATGAAATTGAGCTTACTAAAAACCAAAATATAGAATTAGATTTAATACGAGATTTACGGAATAATATGCTTATCGTTACACCTGATCCTATAGAAATACCTCTCGAAGATATTGTGGATAATGGGCAGAGTCCAGACTCTTTGAGTCATGAAAAATCATCATCTGACTGCCTCCGGCAAAATCACAACACAAAGCTTAATCAATTTGTTTAGAAAAGCTATACGATCTGGACATGAAGAAATTTTATCCTGGATTTGCTATTCAGATAATTTTGAGAATAAAGTTATTGAAATTCGTCATAAGACAGGAGTTAGTGATAAAACTACAAGAACTCAAATATAAAAAGAGATGTTAGAACATTTACCAGGTGTTACATCAGTTGCCTTGCGAATTAAGACTCTTAGGGCCAGAAAAATTCGTAAGCTATTTGGAGAAAATGGAGTTGGAATTGATAAAGTTAAGTATGTTACCTGCACTGCAAATGATATTGCAAAATTAACCAATACACAAATTCAAAACATTATAAATTTTCCCAGGGAAACGATAGAAATCATGTGATCTCAACTGAGGATTTCAAATCTTTACCAGAGACCACCCGCCTCAGAATCCATTACCTTACCCAAGAAGCAGACTCATAATCGTGATTATTTTCGTAATAAAACATTGTGGCGATATTCTGGTTTATATAAAGCAATTATTGCTGAAAAATTTGATTATTATGGAATTATTTAGGGTTCATTATGCCCAATGTGTAAGCAAAGTCATGAGGATGGGAAAAGTGTAAAGGGTAGATACGAAGCTGGATCCTATTTTATTATTTGTGAAAAGCATGAAATCGAAATAACCACATAAATCGTAAAGTCATCCACTATCTAACTGCCTTTGGTAAATTTTCTGGTTTCAAACGTAAATTATATTTATTTTTTTAGCACCTTTGGTGCTTGCTCCGCTAATTACTATTTTGAGATATGTACCAGCCTTGTTATAAGTGAGACCCCATACTTAATTTGAATTTGCGATCATATAAACAATAACATGAATAAAGCCGATTTCGGAGAAATGTCACTTCGTGCCTTAACCCCTGAATATTTGAACTGGCATGCTAAATTGATTGAAGTACCAACTCCTTTGACTGATAAAATTCGTTTGATCTTATATAGAGCATATACGGAAGAGACTGGGCTCGATCCCTGGATAAAGTCTGAAGTTTCTGAATCCTCACAAATCGAAAATGCTGAATCCTCACAAATCGAAAATACCGATAATCATCTTTCACAAGACTGTACCATTAAGATTTCTAAATTTCCGGAAGAGAAAGACGTGATTATTGAAGCAGTACAGAAACGATTTCCTTTCTTGACATATACTAAATCGAATGCATGGCATCGGGATGTATTAAAATATACTGATTTAGAAGCTAAATGTCCGATATGCAAAAAAGTACATACACATCGAGGTATATGGGGTGATTGGAGCTGTCTAGGTAAAAATGATCACTATTTTCTTAATTGCCCTTTTCGTATCGATCAAAAGAAAATTATAATTGCTGTACAAAGTTTACCGGAAACTCGGAAAGAGGTATCAAATAAAACCCGCCTTTATCAACCAGAAGCAGGCTTATGCCAATATGCCAATATGCCATCGAACATGGAATAGATCCCGAGAAATTTTCAATTATTACAGAAGCTGAAAGAAATAGGTGGGCTATGGGGTGTTTTCGTGAGGATTTGGAAAGAGATATACATTTCTATCGTGGTGGAATAGAAAGTAAAGAAGACCCTAGAAAACTGCCCAATTTTGAGTGACATCGAATGGAAAGAAAACTGTCAATTTCCAGTGATTCGCGATGGAGAAACCCCATCTGATTGGAAAAAACGAATCTGGGATCAGTTAATGGTTTATAAAAATAATAATAAATTTACTGATGATAAAAAATGTTATCTTATTGCTAGAAAAATGATATCTATAGAAGGATGCAGGAATCGCATGGCTGTTCCAGTAAGTATAGCAATATGCTACTCTTGTAATCAACTTATATGTGTTAATCAAAAATCTAATGGTTATCATAATTATAAGATGGAGAAACATTGGCGTACAAATTGTACTGGAAACAAGTTTTGTGAAATGAGCTTTGAAGAATACATAGAACTTAAAGGTAAATCCAGAGATAATATTGATTATTTCACAAAGGTATCTTTTGATCGATATGAAATGTGGTTAGATAATGCTATTAAAAGGGTCAAGCATATTCGAGAGACAGCAAAAAAAGTTCGAGCATGCACAATTATACAGAGAAAGTGGTTAGAGTATTTCTACAGACCTCAAGGCATGTGTGCTACAGAACTTGCTCAGCATTACCAGCTTTTATGGGCAGTTCGGGAAGAAATGCGACAAATTAACCAGGTATAACTTTTAATTTATTGAAACATATCTATTTATTCGATTTTAATCTATTTATTATTGTATAACTTATTCATATATATTTATATATCTTTAAAATAAAATTATCCGAGGTATTCCTTGAGGGGCTAGTATCTTGGACTTTTATTCACTGCTATTTCGTGTGATTAATAGCTTTTTTTATCGATTTTTACATGTATTGATTTTATGGTGTACAAAAAACCCCTAGTATAGATAATAAATCGTGCTTGTTATTATTATACATCTACTTAAATTTCACATCGGCTGGAGACGATCAGCTTCTTAATAGAAGTGGCTAATAAGATGTATATTATATTATTGTATTAATAAATAACGAAAAAATAATTATTTGATTGTCAAACCTTGGTTTATTCATCTAATTTTAATGGGGTATCCCACCCGAGCCTAATTGCTAGAGCATCATCAACTGGCTTAGTAAAATCGAAGACCACGAATTCTCGCTCTCGCAAATGCTTATCAATAATCTTGGATGCTTTTTTTGGATTATCCGTATATTGACGTACTACTCTGTGAATGTCGTCTCGGCTTCCTGCCCCACGGAATAGGCATAAATGTGTGATATTTTCACGAATTATTTTAGGTGTTTGTGTATATTTCTGGCTCACATATATAGGTGAGATATTTTGATGCCGGCCACTAATAAAGTAAGGAATAATTCGTTCTTGCACCTTTTTCGATTTGGCACATAAATCCTCAAATACAACAACTGTACTTCGTTCTGGAAAAAATTTAGTTATATCTGGAATTTTATCCGGAGATATTGATTTACAGTAAATGTGACATCTTCTCTATATGGTTTTGGGGCATTTGCAAAGATCTGGTACGCATTTTTTACTAATTCCCATTTCGGTTCAGAATGTTTCCCTATCAATACCAGATCGTTATTCTTGATATATCGATCACCCTTTTTCCCGTTAAACATGCATTGGAGTTTTTTACCTAGCATAAGATTAATAACCATATTTGTTTTTCCGCTATTAGAACCCCCACAAACCAGTAATCTGAATGGGGCATCTGGAGAATACTTATTACCTTTCATTCGTTCTGAGGATTTTTTAGATGTCTCATCGATTTGATACACAAATATGGGCATACCTTCCTCTTTCATTCTAGCCAAGATAAGTAATATTTATTCTTTATGCGGTAAATAACCTTTCTCTTGCAATTTGTTTTTTATATATGGCAATAAATCACAATAAAACGGGATACAAATAAGATCTATACCTTGTCTTTTACATATATCCTGCTTTTTTTGATCTCGGGATTTTTGTGAGTCTAAGTCTATCTTACCTCTTCCATGGAACATTGAATTTTCAGAAAAATGTTGAACACCCTGGAATTCATATGCCAATTTTAATTCCTGGTTATAGCCGTCTAATTGCATCCCATTCAAAAATGACGGTTTACATGATGGAAATTTCTTGCCTAGCAAATCCTCAAAAATATATCTACATCTGCGTTCATGGGTAAAATGAGGGCAAGTTGGGCACCATTCGAATTTACGCTTCTGGATCTTATAAGGTGCTTCCCATTGATGGAGTCTTTTTTCACAAGACCAGAGATATACATTCAGGCCATTTATCTGTCCAGTTTTTATAATACAATGCCCATCACGCTTTCTGGCATATTGTTGAGCTTTATCAAATTCGTTATTAGAAATATGAATAAAGTGGACTAATCCTGTACGTTGATTCTCTGATAATATACTTTGGGGAGGAAGTTGAAGCATATCAATATCTACGTATAAAAGTTCTTCTCTCACAAATGCTCTAGAAGGAGCGTGTTCACCACCCAAATAATATAAAACTGGCTCATTTTTCGGTATTACTATTTTTATAATTGGATGAATAGAAGGACTGTATATAGGATCAGTGGCCTTTCGTTGCTCTAAGCCAGGAGAGCCTTCCCATTCTCCATCTGCGAGAAGATAACGAACCATATCATCTTTCTTCAATTTTTCCTCGTCTTTTCCTATAGCCCGCTTTCGTGATATCGATGGTTTGGATTCGACTTTTTCTAGCTTGATGGCCTTTGAAGGAGCTAATCCCCACTTTGAAGACCCCGGAGCCCGAATGAGACGTGTTGAATAATTATTTAGATAATCAATAACTTTTGGCAAATATTTGACCATGCTCTTATTAATTTAGGATCTGAAGATATTGATTCAACAGCGTATTGTATCTTGTAAAGCATTTCTGCAAGGGTTTTACAGAATCTATCTACAATTGCGAGCCCTCGATGGCTATATGACCCAATTACTCGAATTATTACTCCATGTTCTTGCAATATTTGGGCCGTTTCACCCATATATTCACGACCACCATCGACAGTTAATAATTTGGGCCAGGTTAGTGGATTCGATGAATTATTATAAATTTTCTTGAATGCTTTAGCAACTTCTGAGCTTTTCTTTGATGTGAGAGGAACTGAAGCCTTATATCTCGAAGCACAATCTACTATATTTAATACCGCTTTGTATGTCTTTCCTTGGTATTTATCATGCGTGAGAAATAATATATCGGCTTGATGTACACAATTTGGATGTGTTATTCGCCCGTAGCTGGCTCTGGTGATATGTTTTGGAGTTTTATAAATTTGGTACTGTTGTTGATGCTCTAACCACTCACGGACTTTTTTTATATGGGAAATTGTATCCCTCATCCTTGATAGCTTTATATAACTTTCGAGCATTTGGGTGATAACCAGTGGGAGTATAATAAATTAACCGGCAAACTAGATCTACTTTCTCAGAAGGATCTATAATAATAATAGGTTTGCTCAGTTTACTCATTTCTGATATTACTCATTATAGTAAAAATTATGTCTAGCAAAGTCAATATAATATGCCGTAAAAATAACTATGGCATTTCATCGACCACATCCTAATAAGAAATCTCGTGAGCCAGCATCTAATCGGGAATTAGAACTGGAACAGGCGAATCAAGTTTTGAGGAATGAGTTATCTAGCAAAGTTTCTATCAATAGGTCGAATGAGAAATATATCAATGAGCTGGAACGTAAATATACCAGTTGTGAGAAAGAAATCCAATCTCTCAATAAAGAACTGGAACAGCTCGAGAGTGCTTCAGAGGAAGAAAAGGTGGAGTTGAGATTGAAGATATCATCCCTTAAAAAAAGCTTATACCGAGCTAAAAAAGAAATCCGGGCTAAAGATTCTTACAATTCCAATATAGAGAGGCAGTTACAAGAATCAGAGGAGCGAGTTCAATACCTGAAAGATCGAATCAAAGTTATTTCCTCCCGGAGAAGCTCTCCAAGTTTATATAATTCGGAAGAGGAAGATATACATATGGCGAACCTTGACCTTTTTATACAAATTAATAGGGGTTTAGATCGTATTGAAAACCATCTTAGAGGGAATGGAACTCCATTAAATAATCCCATCAATATTATAGAAGGAATTCGTGGATCTCTAAATGCTGTCCGCCTTAATTACCAAAACACATATAATGATATAGATGGTGTCATAGCACAACGAGATGATAGAGATAACCAGATTTTACAGTTCCAACAAGATATCAATAGATATAGACAGCTTGATACGCTCCAGCAAAATCATATTAACCAACTTACTCAGGATGGTATTAATCTGCAGAATAATGTTAACCAGCTTACTCAAGAACGTGACAATTCTCAGAACGATCTTACTTTAATGACCACGGCTTATAATAATGAGCAGGGATAATGTCGACGATGGCGAGGAATTGCCCAACAATTGGAAGTAGAAATGCAGATACGGGTCAATACCTTATTACTTGATAAATTTGTACTTAATTTTAAGCTTCAGAGATGCCAAAGACATGGCAGAGAATTACAGCAAAAATATGATATGCGTGGGCATTTGTGGCATAATGCAAGTTTGGTATGGGAGAATCAGCATAAACTTAGGCATGCTCTTGAAATTATTTATAAAGTATCTATTTACTGGCTAAAGCGAGAGTTATAACAATGTAATAATGATAAGGTTTTCTTACAATTTTGATATGAACGTGTTGTTCCAAGGTATGAGAAATGGAAAAATAAAATCCATGATGCTAGGCAATTAATTTTGAATTTGAATCAACAAATTTTTGCGCTCCAGAATAATCCACCTATAAACAATCAACATACTGTATAAGAATGGCAAGATACGCACCAACCCATTCCACAGAGGAGCCGGAGAAAACCCTGAAGAATGGATTAGAGATTTTAGACAATATTGTAAAGTATCTGGACTCGATCCACTTGCAAACACTCAAACCAGAGTAAGAATTCATGGTCTTTTTGAAACTTGTTTGAAAGATAATATGAAAGATTGGTATAAGACTAATCTCAAAAATAAAAATTGGGAATTGCAGAATATTAGTGACAATACTAACTTGGCCGATCTTGGTGCCATCATTGGATTGGCTAACAATAATGTATTGCGTGCTATTAATGCTAATCAATTTAAAGGCGGAGCTCTTCATATAAGAAATATTGTATCAGCTAACAATAATGCAATTGCCACACCATTAGTACTAGCACATACCATTTTCGATGAAGACTGGCTAATATCTGGAGGACGACCAACAGATTTAACACCCAATGCCCCCAATGCCAATGCAGGAAGTAATACTATAGTTGCTGACATTCATATTGGGAAAGTACTATACTGGTTTAGAACTAATTATCCAATAACTGCTGAAAAATCGAAAGTAGTATTTCACAATATTACTCAAGGCAACCAATGCATGGGTTATTTTTATGTACAGTTAAAAAAAATGGTTAAGCTTGCGTACTCAGCTCTTCCAGAAGTGAATCAAGAAGAAATAATTAGGCAACAATTCTTCCAGGGGCTTTCTTCTGATAATAAGTTAGAAGTACGATGTATTGGTCTTGAAAATCCAATTTCCGCTTTACTTTCAAAATTAGAAGAGATTGAAAGACAAAAGACTAAATTAATGTTAGGTGGGTATAACTCCGAATTGCATCCTGTCACTTCTCAATCACGGTCTCAATCTAAAGCCAGTACAAAAGATTCTTATATAATTGGTAGCACAGGTATGACCAAAGATGAAATTAAAAATCTGATAAAAGGTATTATGGCATTCTCACAATCCCAGCCTGTTTCTATACAACTAGCTCCTCAACCACTAAGTAGAGAATTAGTGCGCTCTAGTCAAATAGAGCCAGGTAAAATATATATAGATCCAAATTTACATTTGAATAATCAAGAATGGCTTGGAATGAATAATGCATTAGATCATCTCAGTGCCACAACTAACTATATATCTTATCTATAAACTATTATGGAAACAATTAGTAAAGGAGTAATCGACAAAATTTTATCTCTCCTGCCTAAGAATAATGGGAGGAGTGCTTCAAAAAAGATGAAGTTGATTCCGATGAAAAACTGATCAATCTCACACAAAGACAATTAAAATTACATGTGATCAAAGCTCTTAAAAAAGCTATGAAGTCTCAATACAGATGTTCAAGATGCCATAAAACTGGTCATTATTCAAATTCTCCTAAATGCCCAAAAAATAAAAAGAAAAGTAGGTTCAAGAAAAAGGACAATATTAATATCGCTACTGTGGGAATGGTTACGGTGAGTCAGTCGCTAATAAGTGATAAAGTTTGTGCAATGATAGTATTAAATTTCTTTTAAAGATAGGGTTTTGATAAGGTGTTAGATTTGGCCAAGGTAAGTATTTTCTTTGTTAAATCATATTCTGGAACTCCCTTTAATGATTACTTTTTGTTAGCTAATTTATATATTTTTCTCAAGAAAGATTTTTAAACTTTTAGAAAGATCAAGAAAAGGTAAAAAATTCTCATATTTTTCTCTCGCTAATTACATAATATCACACTAATTACATCATTATTACTCGTATGTTTCTGTCTGTTTCACTCTTTACTTCTTCGATGCGATACTGGGTCGATCGTCGGTCACATGACCCAAATTGCGTTACTCTCCATTTCCTTCCCCTCTCATACTATCAAAGATTCAGATTCTGACTCCAATTCTGACTCTTCTGATAATGATTCTAATTCAGATTCTGGCTTTGGTTCTGAATCAGAATTGGATTCTGAAAATAATTTTACTGAGAATGATATCATGAAAATTATCAATACCGTTAAATCAAAAAAAAAGTAAAGCAGAAAAGTAGATCATTCTCTAAGAAAACATCCAAATCCCACAAAACGAAGCAGAAGAATATTTCTATCTTTGGTAAATCCTGAAATAAATCCATTATCCTTGAACAGAATATTTGTCAAATTTTATTAGATATGCTTAAGAAGTCTTTACCTGTGCATTGATTAGAGAAACTAAAATCTGAAATTGAAAATCCATTCAACTTGACATCAACAACCCAGGTATCAGACTCCAAGAAGTATAGAGATCCAGTTCCAAATATACCTGAATCAGATGGAGAGGAAGAAACACTAGAAAATCCTATGGAGATTGACTTTGTCCAGAGAAAAAAACCAGCTATAGATGTTGTAACCACTAAATATAAAATCAAGTGACTAGTAATTCTGGTGGCCACTGTAGATTCTAGTACAAATTTTGCAATTATGTCTGAAGATATAGCCAAATGATTAAAGTTGGTAATTGATACAAAAGATAAACATAATCTTAGAGGTATTGCTACTATTTCTACTGAATCTCTTGAAACTACCTAAAATATATCAGTGAACTTTACTTCTGGTTATACCATATACTCTGATTTTGCAGTGGTTAAATACCCCAAGCCAATATTGATTTTACCTAATACATTACTTGACAAATATGATTATGATTTACTTGCATCAAGACGGAAATTAAAACTTGTATGCAATGGTAAGGAATATTTCATTTCAGTTAATATGCATAAGGTAAAAAATAAGCTAGAAGTAAACTGTGCAACTGTATCCCAGGATAATACATCAGTGATATCAAATCAAATTTCATAAGAGACGAATAATAATGAGAATGACAATATTCCATTTGATGAGTAGTATGCTCCTGTGGGTTTTAGCTTATTGCAAAGTAATGAGATTTTATCTCTAAATTCTGATGATTCATCATTAAAAAAAAACGCATGAGCTATAAGGAGCTGAAAAAAATACTATATACTGTTTTCGAATCTAAAGCAAAAATAAATGATCTTTGTGAGAAGTTGCAAATACATTATGAAAACCTACTTTTATAGAATAAGAATATTCCCACATCTGAGCATATCTCCACTAGAGATAATATTATAGATTAGTAGTACCTAATAAGCAAATCATATTTGTTATATTTTTCTTATCTGTTCTGACTTCTTTTTTATATAATGCATTCAGATCCTCGCTACATATGTCAGTATTAACTGGTATTGAGTTACTGCTAGGTATTAAATCAGATATGTGAATAGATTTAGATCAAGATTTGGAACTTTTCTTTTTTATTTCTGTATTGAGGGGGGTAGATTCTAGATGTAGGTTTGAAGAACTATGATTCGGAGAATCACCTAATAACTTGCTTTTCAATAAAACCTTGCTTTTGGTCTTATTAAAATGTTTAGGTAATATTTCAGTAGAAATGGTACTTTGTATTATTTGTTGCTGGCATTCTCGATCTTCCCATATATTATCTACCTAATGTTTATTAATATGGAAATTTCTCATAATTCTATACTTAGGTACCTTATCTTTGAGAGATCTAATTGTTTCTATCTGCTCAGAAATTAGATATGTAAATTTTTCACGATAATATAATTTTAAAAATGATATATTCATGGTCTGATTTTTTACTGAATATTCAGAATGATATTTAATATTTTTAAATAATAAAAAATGATATCTATTATTATGGAATAATGAAAAATAATATTTATTATTATAAATGAATAAGAAATATTATACTACCTTCTCGTATATATACTCAAAGCCAGATATATAGAATCTTTTTTCAACACTTTATGCCAGCTCACGCTGAATATATAAGAAAAAAATGGTATCTAATATAATTTTTTAATAGTCTATGATGTTTAACCTTAAATATCATTAAATAATAATAGAAATTATTAATAAAACTAGCTTTATTATTTGTATATTATTTATTCCTAATATGGCTAATATTCATACATTACAAAATATTAAAGGCCATCGACTTGGTAGTATGCATGAGCAAGAGCTGGAAAAAAATTATATACTGTACTCAAATCCAAGACTGAAATCAATAACTTAGTAAGAAATTATAGGATAAATATTCTAAGCAAATGAAGGATTTTGATCAGGAGAGAAAAGGCTGGAACCAGGAAAAAAAACAATAGAAGGATATATTTAGTAATGTTAATAGCAATAAACAGAAGTTACACACCCATGCTTTAGAACTTATTAGTAAGACCAAGCAATTAAAAATTAAAAATATTAGTCTTACCTTTGAGAATGTCCATAAAGATCTTTTTCTTGCCGAATCTAAGGCCAGAAATATTACAAAATCCAAGAAAATTAAATTGCTTGAGTCTATAACCAAAATATTGGAAAGTAAGTTGTCTTCAGTTCAAAAAGATACAATTTTGATTCAGACAGATTCTATCAAAAAAAAGTTTAAGAATCTATCTTTCAAATCTAAAATAGCTAAATTGGAACAAGAGTTAGCTTCAACGGTTAATAAGCCTGGATACCTAAAATCTGAGAATATATCAAAACCTGCGATTGGCGAGGATAATGAAAAAAATATGCAGAGCAAGGAACAAAGTTCCATAATCAAGTCTAATGATATATCTGTAGTTAGTAAATCTAGTATAGATATCAGTCAATATTTTATACACAGAAAAAGTATAGACCAAGCTGGAAAAATTGATAATATATCTCTTGGGTTGAAAACCTGTAACTCTATCACTGACACTAGCTCTGCTATCCCGGTACCTACTAATGATGAGATTACTGAACTACCAAAAGTCGATATTGAGAATAGTCCCAAGATAAGTAATGAAATTAATGTTAGTAAAAGTAGTAAATATATATTTCCAGCTCAAGAAATATCGAATGTAAATTCCTACCTTGTACAGCCAGAAAATTATACCTCTCCTTTGATTAAATCGAATCACCAGATTCTGATAGGAGGGATAGGAGTGATCTCTGATATGGCAAGCACTTTGATGTCACAGTTATTAACATATAGTCTTCTTATTTTGTTGATTATTGTTATTATATGGTTCATTATATTGAGACACACCTGAGGGGTAGGGAGAAAAAGTGATTGATCATAGGATGTGTAGGCTGGATAACCGAGACTCTATTTGAACTTGAATATTTTTTATATATGAAAAAATATAATTAATAATGTATAAGTAATGCTAATATTGATAGTATTAGTGTAATATTTAACAATATAAATTGTTATATAATCTATTGACCATTTTTTATCATTTTATATAATAAAGATATACAATATCAAGTCTTTACTTTGCATGATGTATTGATTATATTAACTGATTCATTCCAAGTATTTTGAAAGCTTTCCAATATTAATCGATTATCTTCTAATATATAAAGTATAACAATTTTTATGTTGCCTAATTTAGATAGGTGTCAATAAAAGTGATACTTCAAGGCATTGAAAAAAATAATACTCCAAAGTTTTCAAATTAGTGATACTCCAGATTTCATTTTCTGATTATAAATACTATTTACATTTTTTGATACATGTTTGATAATGATATTCTAAAGTTTTCAATATAATGATATTCCAAAGTTTTCAATATAGTATTATTCCAAAGTTTTCGATATAGTGTTATTCCAAAGTTTTTGATATAATGATATTTCAAAGTTTTCGATATAGTGTTATTCCAAAGTTTTCAATATAGTAATATTCCAAAGTTTTTGATATAGTATTATTCCAAAGTTTTCAATATAATAATATTTTGAAATATATAAAAAATACAATTTAGGTACCAGTATAAGCCAGCTAAAGACTGAAAAAAGTTGATATTCCAAGATATAATTATTATAGAAATATAGATATATAAAATTGTACTTTAGGATTATATACAAATAGGTATCGAAAAAAAGTAATACTTCAAAATAAAATTATTACAGATATATATATTATAAAATTATGCTTTGGAGTATCAATAGATAAGATAGCAATTTGGCACTATGTGTAAAGATGGGTCCCTAAAGTATTTAGCATATAAAATTTACGTCCTTTTACGTCCACATCCCCTAGAGGACATAATTCCTAGCTCTTTACTTCAATAGGAACATAATTCCAGAAATGATTTGTATAGATGCTTAAAACTATAAAGAACCTTTGTAGGTAGTTTTT